CTCCGCGTGTTCTTTCCGTTTCTGTCCGCCTTCCTTTGTTCCATTTCACTTTCTCACATTCCATCTGTCTCTCTCTCGGGATCTGTGTCTCTCCGGTTCTGTCCCGGTTCCAGTTGTCTCGCTGACCACTGGCCTCTCCTCCCTCTCTCTCAGGACTACGAGCTCCAGCTGATGACATACAGGGCGTTCGTGGAGTCAACACAGAAATCGCCGGTCAAGAGGAGGCGGATGCACTCTTCATCAGACACCATCACGCAGGAGGTAATGGTCGAGCTGGGCAGGGAGGAGCTGAGCGCAGGAGGCGCAGGAGGTAGGGGAAATGTACAGACGCTGAGGGCAGTGGTGGTAAAGTCCTGCCCACTCAGACCCCTCTGATTGGAACGATGATTGAGAGCACGCAGAGTGCAGCAACAGCCTTCCTGTTCACAGCCCTGAGCACGGGGGGAGAAGGAAAGAGCACAGGTGCTGAGGGATATGAGCGTGTCTTTTCAGTTCATGGACCTGCGGACACGCTACACGGCTCTGGTGACCCTGACGACGCAGCACGTGAAGTACATCAGTGACGCCCTGCGCAGACTGGAGGAGGAAGAGGTGCGCTGATATCACCCACCACAGGAGGGCGCTGTGGCCCCCTCTCGTCATCTCCCTCACTTCCTCGGTTTATCCAGCTGCCTTCTGCAGTTTCTCTCTCAGCTTACTGTCTCACACTTTTCTGTTTTCTGTTGTGAATCAGTGTCTCTTTCTTCTCTCTCTCCATTTTCCATCTCACACTTTGTCTCTACCCTCTACCCCCTCTCCCCGTGGGTCTCTACCCCCTCTCCCTGTGGGTCTCTACCCCCTCTCCCCGTGGGTCTCTACCCCCTCTCCCCGTGGGTCTCTACCCCCTCTCCCCGTGGGTCTTTAACCCCTCTCCCTGTCTCCGTGTCCCTGCAGAAGGAAGTGGAGGAGGAGAGACAGGCTCGGGTGGGACAGGTGTCGGATCTGCTGGGCTGGGTCAGGGGGCTCGCAGACAGAGACACTGTGAGGGAGGGTGACCTCCAGAACCTGGAGAGTTCCCTCGCCAAGCAGCAGGTAGGCTGGCCTGGGGGGTGGACTGGACGTGACTGAACTGGCCTGGGGGGTGGACTGGACATGACTGAACTGGCCTGGGGTGGACTGGACTGGACTATACTGGCCTGGGGTGGACTGGTTGTTAATGGACTGGGGTGGCCTGCGCAGCCTGGGTGAGGCTCTGATGGAGTGGAGTGGGCTTGAATGGGTTGGGTTGTGCTGCAGCCCTGGTTCCTGCTGAGTCAGAACCCCCGCCTGTCCCCCCGTCCCCGCGTGACCGCACGTCTCTCGTCTCAGGCGATCTCCGAGCAGCTGGCCGCCAAGAAGGAGGAGGTGTCGGAGGCCGTGAGGAGCACCGAGGTCTTCCTCCTCTCCAAACAGGCCAGCAGGTGAGTGGACCGCGGCGATTGGCTCGTCACTGACCCCCGCGCCCCACGGTCCCCGGCGGCCGGCTGACCTCCGCTCTGCTTGTGCCGCAGGCTCTCGGCGGAGGAGCGGGCGCGGGTCACGGGGCAGCTGGGCGACCTCCGCGACGCCTACAGCCAGCTGTGCGAGCGGTCGGGCCGGCGGCGGCGGCAGCTGGAGGAGCACCTGGCCCGCGAGCAGGAGCGCCAGGTAGGGGGCCGGGGGGCCGGGGGTGCGGGGGTGCGGCGCGCGCTGGCGTCCTGGCTTCTGCGATTCGTTCACTGATCCCGTGTGTCAGCCTGGGGCTTGTGTGTGCGCGTGTGAAAGAGGAGTGCGCGGGCGGTCACGTGTTTTGTCGCATGTTGCGTGTTTTCCATCATGTGTCACGTGTTCTCCAGTCCATCTCCAGAGCTCACCGTGTTTTGTTTATGGCATGGAGTGCCGTCCTACTCACCGCAAACGAGGAGAGTCTGTGTCATCGTTGTCATCATCCTCATCGTCATCAGTTTAACACTCTTGCAGGGGGTTGGCGCCCCTCTGTGGCTCGGTGTGGTACTGCAGCACTGTCTGGGTCACGGAGAAGTAGCTGTTGTGATCTTTCCAGTTACTACTGCTGCTGCAACTCCCAACATCTGGGCCCAGTAACAGAAATACACAGGCAGAACTATCCATTGTATCAAGCAGACATTACACACACACAGGTCCATCAGTGTGCCATTCACTCAGTGTGCATCAGTCAGTCACACCCTCACCCTGAAGTCGGGGTGCATGTCTGTGGAGGGCGCCTGGGTCCCCCGGTGCTCAGTGGCACGTCTGTGGTGTGGCTAGTCTCCGAGTGCAGAGGTGGAGAGCCTGTGGTCGGCATGTTGTACCAGGACTGCACGAGTGTGTGTCAGGGCGTCTGGTCACGGTGGATGAGCAGGAGAAAGAAACAGGCTGCTGTGTCACACTGTCAGGAACCAACCCTCAGCCTGTCCACACTCACCTGACTTGCTGTGAGCATGACGTGTCCCGGTTCACTTCCTGTGGACGAGAATCAGTGACGTGTTCAGTGTTAATAATCGTAATGACAATGTGTGTTTATTAACCAGCACTTTGCTTCAAAACCACTAACAGCAGCCGGCCGAGGAGCACAGGCACTGGTCTCGGAGCCTGGGTCCCAGAGTCAGACACAGGAGTAGAGACAGACAGATGGATGCAGCAGAAGCTCAGTATAAGAGTCGCTGTGTTTATTAGTGCCGCTAGTCTGTCAGACTCAGGGTGTCAGCGAGACAGGGTGTCATTATATCAGTCAGGGTGTCAGGGGGTCAGTCAGTAATTATATCAGTCAGGGGGTCAGTCAGGGGGTCTTTATATCAGTCAGGGTGTCAGGGGGTCAGTCAGTGATTATATCAGTCAGGGGGTCGGTCAGGG